CTCCCTTCTGGTATCATTTTGAATCAGTTTCTCATTTCGATAGAAAAACACATTGGACTCACGTTTGTCATGCTCATTTATTTATTACAAGATTCTACAAAATGCTTAGTACTTTAATGGTGACAGCTAACCCTTTCTTTATTGTTGATCATTACCTGTGTTTGACCAGCACCTGATTGAATTATACTGCTGTACTGAGGCCTTCTGAAGAACAACAATTCAATGACGTAAATAGTTTTTTTCTATTTTTAATTCTGTTTCAAAAACAAATACCAGACTCAATTTTGTTGATACTGATTGAATCACTGTACTCTCTACTGGACTCTGCTATTTTGCATTAATAAAGCAGAGACAGAGAGAGAGAGACAGAGAGAGAGAGAGTCTGTTCTTCCTTTCCTTTCACACAAAACTCAAACTGCAGTGGTTTTGACCACAGCATACTTTTCAGCAGCATTTTCACACCCACTGACCACTGAAAAAACATACATCTACTTGTCTGTTGTACAATGGTTTGTACCTACTCACTACAAATATTAAAATTAAAAATGGCATGAACCATCAACAATTATTTCAAATCTGTGAAACACAACACCATTGAACTTAATCATATCCCACTATATATTAACTTTTTATTGTTAATTTGTGCATGTTATGCAGTATTTGCCCTCTGTTCTTGCAGCAGTGCCTGTATTGCAATGAGTGTGTGAGTCTATGTGTGCATTCAGAAATGTAGGTGCCTCCCATTTCTCTTGATCAGCTTTGAGATGAGGAATTATTAGATACGTGCTTTGGCTCTTTCACACGCACCTCTCTTCATGAGACTATTTCAGTTGCACTCGAGCTCAGTCACTTCCTGTGGGTGAAGTCATGGCCAAACTTGAAACCAGTATTTTATCCCACTCAACTTTATTCATATAGCACCTTTCATGCAGCCCAGTGCTTCACATAGCAACACTGACACAACAGACTAACAAAGTTAGAACAAATATAAATATAAATAAATACAATTTTGCAAGACAAAAATACAATAAAAGTAATAAAATGTAAAACCACAATAAATAAAAAGTCAATAGATGTCAAAACATAAAAACTAAGCCTATAATATTGCTCCAAATTATAAGCCAGATTAAAAAAAACATTCTTACGTTTTTAATCTCCTTTTAAAAATGAGTTCCACAGTTGAGGGGCATAAGGAGGCACTCTCACCAGTACTTTTAATGGGACACACGAGGAACATTACACCAACACCATGAGGAGAGGACATTTTAAAGATTCTGTACTGGGATGATGGGATACTTTTTTCTCCAGTACTGGAGTTCAACTTTATGATTTAAGATGAAGAATTAATGTATTTTCACATAAAATGTTTAATGAGTATGACCTGTGGATGTCCCCTTTAAAACTGTGCTGTAGACAGACGTCATTACCCAGGACAGCTTCAACATTCCTGGAGGGCCCAGGATCAGCACCTTGGACAGCGACAGTAACAGCAGAATGCTTTAAAGATCATAAGAACATAAAATAAAAATAAAAGCTTTTTGTTAAAGTTACGGTTCACAGTAGCCTTGTGTTCATTCCAAAGCCTCCACACAGATAAGGTCTCACTGAGGGCAGTCCCTCATATAGCATTATCAAAATGCACATCCTGGCTGGGCCCTTTCTGTTGAGTTTACATGTTTACATAGGTTTCCCCCACCATCAAAACATGTATGTTTATTCTCCGTTCAGTGTCCTTGAGCAAGGCACTGGCTCAGATCTGCTCCTAATACAATGGGTATTGATCGGGGCTCAATACAGGATAACTTAACCATTGGGACATGTGGGTTATACAGTATGTACTGCTACAGAGCCAAACGTTTAGTTCTGTGCCAACTCAAAACCAAGTAACAGGTTCAAGAGCAACACAGGCTAGCTAGAAGAGGGGGCCACAGACAGTACAAAGTGACTGGCCATGCATTTGTTCTTCTCTTTCAACATCAATATACATTGATTTAACATACAGCGATTTCATTTTAAATGAATATGCATTGATTTAAATGAATAGACATTGATTTAAATGAATACTTGATGTAAAAAAAAGAAGCCTATTATGAACAACATACAGCATACAGAACTCTTTATGCATATGGTTTAGTGGGATGGGCATTGAAGAGAGGCCCAGAGGGGGCGCACCACACCAGCATTTCCTGCTGGGTCCCCTCTGCCTCTAACAGGATAACTGAGCTAACGGCATTTAGTTAGTGGTTACTCTGGTGATGTGTGATATCTTACATATTGCATCTTTAAAGAAGCAAAATTCTAATGAATCTAATTCATTTAAAATTACACATTTAAAAAGAATGCCAGTAAATTCTCATCAGATATTAATCTAAAACAGAGGTCAGATATAAAATGCATCAAGGGGAAATCAGACCAAATGAACAAAACACTGAAATAAACCATTGCATGCATTTTGTTCCATCGTGCTACTATGTTGCAAAAAGAGCGTGAGAAGGAACAAGAAAGGCCAATGCTTATCAGTATGAGTGCAAAATAAACGACCTGCAGTTCCTCTTTGCACATAGATGTGTTGCTGTGATAGACAGCGTCATCACCACATTCACACCAGAGCTAATGTGTTAATACGCAGAAAAGAAGAGGGTTCTCTGAAGAGTGTGTACAATAAATGCATAGATATAAATAATATAGCATGTCAGAAAGCCTGCCTAGCCCTGTTCACAATCACTATTTCTGTGACAGAATGTTTTCAATACAATGACATGATGAATATTTATATATTTATATATA